TCTTGCACCCATACACACACACACCCCGTCCCGGAAAGTTTTCCCCCTCTCTCTCCGGTTCCCCCCCCCCCCCCCCCCCATCCTCATGCTGGGCTCTGTGCTGCACATGTGGGGGTGTCCCTCAGCCCCAGCCACGCACTGGGAGGCTGCAGCAGCTCGTCCCCTTGGCTCTGGGCCCCGAGGAGCTGGCTCTAGTCCGATGCTTAGTTCCTCAGGAGGGAGGCTCGTCCTTCCCAGCACTTCCTTTGGCTCTGTCTGGGGCAGGCTTTGGCTCCTGCCTGCTTTGTCCCCCCTGTGTAGGAGCAAGACCCTTGGAGGAGCTCATTTGAGCTGTTGACCACAAGTTGTGGGTCCACCTGGGCTGCCTGGCTTGTAAGAACAGCAGGGCCCTGTACCTGAAAGCTGTCAGAGAGCAATTTTTCCAACTATTTAGTTGGTCTGATAAAAGATATCACGTTTACCTAAAGAGCCTTATCTGCCTGTGTCCTTAGACCTGCACAGCTACAACCAGCAGCCCTTCTGGCTGTGCCTAGTATTCTTGCTCTGTTGCCCCATATTTATTTGACCTGTGTGCAGCCTCTAACGTATCTTTTCCCCTGATGCTGGGTTGGTGGGTATGTTGGGTACTCTGGCCTGTTTGTTGGCCAGTAGTGGAGGGGATACATTTTAGATCGGAGTGTTTCTTTTCCTTTCATTTTTCTATGCATTTTTCTTCCTCAGAAAAGATTTTAAAGGACATAACTTGTTTTATTAGTCTTAAAATAAAAGAAATGCCCAGTGTTTTACCAAAAACTATGCATATTTCCTAAATGAGGAAAATGAGGGCGTTTGGGTAAATGTGATTTCTTTTGTTAGGTCAACCAAATAGTTGGAGAAATGGTTCTTCCCAGGTTTTCGGACATAAGCACCCTTCTTCAGGCACAGGGTGCTGTGGTGTCTGCTGGTGTACATCTAATCTCCAGGGTCAATAGAAATGTGAAGTGCACTCTCTTTTTAGTGCTTCTAGTTGTGTATGTCATTTTGCAGATCTTGAATTCCCATGTTCACAAGCTGAATTTGAACCCTATCCTATTTCTCATTGTGTTGTTTTGGTTTATGAGATTAAGTATGGCTTCTGCCATGGGCTGTAGATTTTCTGGAGCACCCATTTGAAATTAGAGATTTGTTTTACTTCTCTGTTTTTATTTTTAAAACAAAGACAGTTTCTTTATTTTTGAAAGTTAAGTGTGTGTAATATTAGGACTCCTTGCATGTGAAAGATCAGTTTTTACTTCTGTGCCCTTGCATATATATATATATATCAATGTTGTTTTCTGTGCCTTCCTCTCTCAGTTTTGTTTATTGCAGTTTCTTCATCTCTGGCTTCCGTGATGCCTGGACACACTTGGTTCAGTGTGTTCAAAATATGGCTGCTTAAACCAGAATCAGTCAGCACCCGCTTTAATCTGACGTTATATCTCTGATTCCTTTCTTCTCCAGTTCATCAAATTTAAACTCTTTGATCTCCTCCTCAGTGCCCCCACCCTACTCCTATGCTTCTTATCTGATCTTGTTTGTGCTTGGGGAAATTATGAAAAAATTGAAAAGGTCTTGGAACTGATTCACCTGAATGATTTCTAAAAACTCATTAGAACTGTATGTGTACATAAGCTTCTTCCAGCTAGAGCTAATTTTATATTTACATAAACCTTGAAGCTTACAGGAATGGTACTGGTTTCTGACAGTATGGTCTCCAACCTGTGTGAATGTTTGGTGTAGGTTTCTTCAAATGGACACAACTGTTACTTTTGCCTTCCATCCTCCAGTAATACTAGTCTTCATTTTCTTGAGATATTTGTACAGTAAAAGCTGCGCTATCCGGCATCTTACAAGCCGGCATGCTCCACTAACTGGCATGCCGGCTTGTAAGATAAAGTGAAACCGGAAGTGCCCACCGTGGCACTTCTGGTTTCTCTGAGCCCCCACAGCCCAGGGCAAAGTAGCCTGTGCTGCCGAGCCCCCACGGCCCGGGGGCATAACAGGCTGTGCGGGGCCATACGGGGCCCGCCTCCCTGTCCCGTGGGGCCTGCAGAGCCTGTGGGAGGGGCGGTGATGTGACGGGAGGGGCGGAGGGATGCCCCAGATGTGGCAGGAGAAGTGGCGGCCGGGGGCTGCTCAATTAACTGGCATATTTTGTTATCCGGCATCCCCCATTCCTGGGGGATGCTGGATAACAGAGCTTTTACTGGACTGCTTTTCATGAGACTTCTTGTGCCTGTGTGGAATGTTCTTTCTGTTGTGGTCCAGTAAGGCACCCTTACATCTTACCTAGTTAACCAGGCAAATGTTGCCTCTCTTGTGATAACAAATACTAAATGGGAGTTGGGGGTGGAGGGCTACAGAAAAGCTTTACTAGAAGTAACATTTGTGCCCATACTTAAACTTAATTATGCCA